AGCACAAAAGGGAAAAATGGGCTGCTTTAACCAGCTGCCTTTTACACTGGCTTCATACGGACCACAACTCCCCTAATCCACAGCACAGGTGGCCATGATGGAAGGCAATGTCCAAATGTTGTACAGGGTCTAAACCCCCATTTCTGAAAAACTGAGGGCGTGCCACACCCTTTTTCCCAGTGCCTTTCTTTTTTTCAAACAAACAAACAAACAAACAAAACTTCATTTATTGTAGAAATAATAGGCTGAGTCTGATGGTGGGGCAAGGGGGTCAAACACACCATCAGTCTGGAGTCCCTACGATCCCTTGTTAAGTCCATCTGCCCCTTAGATTCCACTGACTCTTATCTGGCATTAATTCTCCTTGATGGTTAGTCTTTCAGATTCTTGCGTATGCCTCAAAATTGCTTTTTCAAAGGACAACTGGACTTTCCCATCCCACCTTGAGGAAGAAGAACAAAAGGGTTCCTTTCTTATCCAAGAAATTTCATCTGGTTTTTTTTCCAACGGATCAATTTTAATTGAAATTGAAAAAAGCAACTATGAGACAACTATCAACTGAATGATTGAGGATCTCCACACACACTCTTGTATATAAGTAACATGAAATACATTTTGAGTACTTTCAAATTCAGTGTATGGTCCTGATTCCATGCCTGACGTGCACTTCCATCGGAAGACCTGACAGACCAGGTTAGGGACAGATCATCATGTAGAAAATCTATCCCTGTGGCTGTTAAGAGCTAACACTGACTTGACAGCATTCCATCCACCACCCACCCACCTATCCATCCATCCATCTATCCATCCATCCATCGATCCATCCACCCATCCATCTTTTGTTTTCTTTGCTTAAATAAATTGCTGAGAATCGTGATGGTAGAGGATGGGGACTAAATCAGTAAAGAAAAGCATTGCGTAAAGAGAAGTTTTCCATTACAACCGACATTAACATTAGTTCCAGAAAATGTGACCATCTGAGGGTTTTCCCTCATTGCACAAAAACTAGTCTTAACTTGTCCCCAGGGTTTAAAAGCAAGAATCTAGTAGCACCTTTCCCGTAGAAGAAACTTTATTGAAAGGCACAAGCTTTTGTGAGCTGCAATCCATGACGATGATTAGGTCATACCAGAAGTTTATTTTTGATCCCTGGGAAGTTGGGGGTGGTTACTCACTCAGCTAGATCAATGATCAAGGAGGCAGGCCTGTACCTGGATCTCTAACCAGAGGACAGCTTTTAGCCAGGTTATAAACTTAGCAGGAGGGTCACCATTCAGACAGCCGAATCCCTGGAACAGCTCTCTGAACCACCCATTCCTTCACACGTTTAGCCAGGTTATTTATTTATTTATCCCATCTTTATTACTTTATAAGAAACTCAAGGTGATGAACGTACATAATACTCCTTCTCTTTCCTATTTTCCCCACAACAACCCTATGAGGTGGTTGGGCTGAGAGAAAGGGACTAGCCCAAAGTCACCCAGTTGGCTTTCATGCTTAAGGAGAGATAGAACTCCCAGTCTCCTGGTGATTGGCTCAAAGTCACCCAGTTGGCTTTCATGTCTAAAGTGGGACTAGAATTCCCAGTCTCCTAGGGATTGGCCCAAAGTCATCCAGTTGGCTTTCATGTCTAAGTGGGACTGGAATTCCCAGTCTCCTGGTGATTGGCTCAAAGTGACCCAGTTGGCTTTCATGTCTAAAGTGGGACTGGAACTCCCAGTCTCCTGGTATTTGGCCCAAAGTCACCCAGTTGGCTTTCATGTCTAAAGTGGGACTGAAACTCCCAGTCTCCTGGTGATTGGCCCAAAGTCATCCAGTTGGCTTTCATGCCTAAGGCAATAGCAGAGCTCAAACTCTTCTGGTTTCTAGACCAGCACCTTAATTACTACACCACACTGGCTTTCTAAGATTAGTTGCCACCTTAGCTGTCACATTCACACAAGGTCACCTTATCTAAGTTTGGGATGATTCCCTGCTCCTACAGATTGGGTTCTCATTGGTTGCACTCCACCAACTCGGAGAAGGGTTAACCCAGTCCAAGGGCCAGCATGTCCTGTGAAGGCAGCCAACAAGCGTCTGTTGGTGCATTAAGACCCCCCCCCCCGAGGGCTGCAATCGCCTCAATGCCACTTTGAGGTCCGCCAGGGAATTAGATTAACCCCCCTCTCCTCGCCCTGCTCCTCTGGCCTACGGGATCCCCTCCGCAGCGCGCCTCCTGCCAAACCAGCAGCTCAAGAACCCCGGCGGCGTCGGCGGCGGAGAGGGGGAGAGCGCTGCGGCTGCTCCCACGTTGTCAAGCAGCGTGGGAAGCAGCGTGGGAAGAAAACCCGTCTCCCCAGAGCGGCGGTGACGAGCAAGTAGCTTCTCTGGAAAAGGGCGAGTCTCCCTCTGCCTGTCTCTATCTCTGAAGGAGAGAGGAGGGGGAGAGGGGAGAAGGGAAGGGGGAAAGGAAGGAGAGATGGAGGGAAGGAGGGAGAACGGGAAGGAGCGAGAGAGCGAGAGAGGGAGGCATGGAAGGAGAGAAAGAGGGGGAGGGAGGGAAAGAGAGAGGGAGAACGAGGGAAGAAGGGAGAGCAAGAGGGAGCGAGAGAGGGAGGGAGGGGAGTGAGAGAGGGGAGAGGGGGAGTGAAGGAGAGGGGGAGAGGGAGGGAGGGAAGAAAGGAGGGAGAACGAGAAGGAGCGAGAGAGCAAGGGGGAGAGGGAGGCATGGAAGGAGAGAAAGATAGAGGGAGAGGGAGAAAAGAAGGGAGAGCGAGAGAGAGCGAGAGAGGGAGGCATGGAAGGAGAGAAAGAGGGGGGAGGGAGGGAAAGGGAGAGGGAGAACGAGAGAAGAAGGGAGAGAGAGAGGGAGGGAAGAGAGAGGGGGAGGGAGAAGGGAGGGAAGGAGAGGGGAAGAGGGGGAGGGAGGGAAGGAAGGAGGGAGAACGAGAAGAAGCGAGAGAGCAAGAGGGAGAGGGAGGCATGGAAGGAGAGAAAGAGGAAGAACGAGAGAAGAAGGGAGAGAAAGAGGGAGGCATGGAAGGAGAGAAAGAGGGGGGGAGGGAGGGAAAGGGAGGGGGAAAGATGACCGGACGTAACCCTGAGTAGCAGACGCCCGCTCGCCTCTCCGCCCAACCGCGACGGTTGTCCCCGCTTGCCAACCAACTGAGCCGGCCACATCCTGCAGGCGCGCCTCCGCCACTCCCTCCAGAAGAGCAGCTGCGCCTGCCGCCCGCGAAGCCGGAAGCAGAAGGCAGGCCGCCTTGCACAACCCCGTCGGCCGGCTTCATTCATTGTTCGGCTTCGCACGAGACGCGGGGAAAGGACCTGAAGGCAGGGCTGGCTTTCTCTCCAGAGCTTAGCCCGCCTTCCCTTCGCCGCCAGCCAGCCCAACCTGAGCTGGTTGGGAAGAATCTCGAGCCGAGAGGTTTGCACCTTGACCAACTTAAGCGGGTCGTGTGAAGACAACACAAGATCCTCTTCTTTTCTCTCGGGCAGGAAACGTGTTTTTCTCCTGTCCGGGGTGTGTGTGGGGGGGGGGAAGAGAAGGACTCCTCGGTTTGAGATCAAGGGTCTTGATTTTTTTTGCAAAATCACTCTTGACGCCACCCCGACTTGGCCATAACCTGGTTTCCGGACAAGAGCACGCGTGTTTCCCCACTGCTAGCCAAGCTGCGTTCCCTAAATTCCCGCTTTGGAGGCTCCTGGGAAGAAGTGGAACAGCTTTGCCTCCAGAAATCGTGGGCGCTCCATCACTGGAGAGTTTTAAGAAGAGTTTAGAAGACAGTCACTTGTCTGAGACTGTATAGCAGGGGTCCTCAACCTTGGCAACTTTAAGACTTGTGGACTTCAACTCCCAGAATTCCTCAGCCAGCTTTGCTGGCTGAGGAATTCTGGGAGTTGAAGTCCACAAGTCTTAAAGTTGCCAAGGTTGAGGACCCCTGCTGTATAGGTTCTCCTGCTTGAATAGGGGGCTGGACTAGAAGACCTCCAAGGTCCCTTCCAGCTCTATTCTATTCATCCTTCGCTCCTCTCTTTTCTCTCCTGGGCAAGCCCCCTCCCCCGAATCTGCAGAAAGAACCCCGAGAATTTCAAGAAAAGCACCGGCCGAATCTCCCTCTCCACGCGAAACGGCACCAGGACAACTGATGGCGTTACCTAGTTTGGGTAATGAAACGTCTGCAAGAAAACCACCAAGCTCAGAGAGCACCAAGGACCCCTGAGCTACGCCTATTCTCCTTTATGGGTGGCACAAAGAACAGAAAGGCGGCGTGGAGCATGGGCAGAGTGCAATCAGTTGAGCGTGGGCAGAAGCCCCGCGCTGAAGAATGGGGGAGGGGGGGGAGTGACAGAGGTGCGACGATCAGACTAAGTCAAGCGCTCCCCCCCCCCCCACCACCCCGTTAATTTTCCTTAACGTGCCTGCACTCCGGTGTGTGTGTGTGTTTTTTTTTCTTCAGCAAATACAGCCATCCTGGAGGAGACGTTGGCTACACACAAAGGAAGTTGCTTGCACGCGCGCCCACACAAACCCACACACACACACACGCGCGCCCGTCTCGTTGCCAAGGGCTTTTCGCGCCGTTCTGCATCACTACACCACACCACACCACACCACACACACACACACACACACACACACACACACACACACGGCACGCACCCGCCGCGTCCCCATTCATCTACCGCCGCTGGGTCGCCAGCAGCCACAATCGCTCCCAGCTTTTAACGCCGAATCCTCTCGGCTCGTTTCGTCTGCAGCCCCTTCTCTTCGCTCCGGCTCGGTGCAAGCCGCCCGGGGAAGAAAAAAAAAATAAAATAAACCAGCTATTCCCATCCGAGACGTAACGGATGCTCGGCGGGAAACGGCACAGCAGCATCTAACCGGCCGAGTTGCCTTTGACACATCTGGGTTTTCCAAACCCGGGCTTGTAATGGGGATTGCCGCTTAAAATGCAGCCTCCCCCTCCGCCCCGGCCCCTTGCCCCCAACAGCAGCCCGGATTCCCTTCCAATTCTTACCTAGGCTCCCGTTCCCACGGCTGAGTGTATTCCACGTGTCGTCCGCTCACAGACGCGGTCCGGGGCTAGGGCGGACTCGCATCGCGCGCGCCTTTGATCCTGACAAACCAAGCAGGGAGAGGCGCCGATCAGCCGAGCGCTGCACGAAAAGCAGCATAATGTAAACTCGTGTCCAGGTACAGATCCTTTCCTGACGTTCCTTTTTTTTTCCCCTGGATTTTCCTTCCTTCCTTCCTTCCTTCCTTCCTTCCTTCCTTCCTTCCTTCCTTCCTTCCTTCCTTCCTTCCTTCCTTCCTTCCTTCCAAGCCTCGCTCCGCGCCTCTACGACTCGCTTCCGCCCTGCTGCATCTGGCTTCACATGTACCTGTTTTTATTTTGCACTGGGCGCTGGAGCCTCTCCCTTCTTCGGTCCTTCCTTCTCTCCCCCCCCCCTCCCACCCCTCCTCTCCTTCGCCTTTCTCCCCTCCCATTCAACCTCCCCCTCCACCCCGGGTAAAACCCGCCTCCTTCGCCGGACTAGGCTTTGGCCGGACCAACCCAAGCGCTCCTGACGTGATGGTCTTATCTCGGATTAAGCCAATGGGCGAGAAAACCGGGCCAGCAGCCCAAATGACAGCCAGGAGATTGACGGGAAGGGAGGGAAAGGGTTAAAAAAAAAAAAGCAAATCCGGGAAGGCGTGTCAAAGGCGGAGCGGGGTGGGAGAGAGAAGACAATGACAGAAGAGAGAGAGAGAGAGAAAAAGGGGAACAATAGCAATCGGATAAGATAAGATGAGTAAGCTTTATTGTCACTTTTTATTATGAGCACACTGGCCCGCATTAAAAATTGAATTCTGTTGCCTGCTCTCAAAGAAATCGTGGGTGCTCCATCACTGGAGATTTTTAAGAAGAAGCTAGAGTCCACAGTCACTTGTCTGAGATGGTATAGGTCAGGGCTTTTCAACCTTTTCACCCAAGGTACCACTTTTAGGATATGGCAATATTTGAGTACCACCAGTCGCCTAGCAAGGTGTCAAAAACTTGATGACCTCCCCCCCAAAAAAGGAAAAAAGTGATAAAGTACAGGTAATCCTCGACTTACAACAGTTCACTTAGTGACTGTTCTAAGTTACAATGGCACTGAAAAAAGTGTCCCTCAAGGCACAGACGAGCAAGACACCTGCCTGCCCGCCTGGCGGTGCTCTTCCTCCTGTCCGAGGTTTTCATTGTTGTGAGCATTTCTGTTGGGGATTGGCAGCGGGGGTGGGTTGGGGGGTGTTTGGTTTTTATTTCTCCTGTCTGTTGGGTTGTTGCAGCAGGTTTTGGTCACTTCACATGACCCTTGGACACTGTGACCGTCATTAATATGAATCAGTTGCCAAGCATCTGAATGTAAATCACAAGACCCTGGAGATGCTGCAACATTCCAGCTGATCGGCACTTCTTCTGGGCTTAGCAGAAGCACCAGGATCAGTGCTGCTTTCCAGCTGATTGGTGCTTCTTCAGGGCTCAGCAGAAGCACCAGGATCAGCACCGAGCTCCAGCTGGAGCCAGGTGCTGATCCTGGCGCTTCTGCTGAGCCCTGACAGTCCTGAAGAAGCGCTGCTCCTGGCGCTTCCGCTGAGCCCTGACAGCCCTGCAGCTCCAGCCATCTCTCGCTCAGCCTTGTGCGGTGCTGCCACCGGTTCAGCTTATTCCCCTCCCCCGCTACCACTTTTCTAGGATGGTCACATACCACCTGCCAGGTGCCAATGTACCACAGGTGGTACCCGTATCACTGGTTGAAAAGTCCTGGTATAGGTTCTCTTGCTTGAGCAGGGGGCTGGACTAGAAGACCTCCAACGTCCCTTCCAGATTCTATTCTATTCTATTCTATTCTATTCTATTCTAGTCTAGTCTAGTCTAGTCTAGTCTAGTCTAGTCTAGTCTATCCTATCCTATTCTATTCTAGAGAGCACAGCATTAAGAATGTGAAAAAAAATTCAGTTTCTTTTAGAATGGATTCCAGCATTTTAACTTAAGTAGCTAATTTAAATAACTTTGATGTAAATTTAAATAGCTTTGATATAAATGGCACATTTTAAAAACAATCTTCCTTCCCTCCTTCCCCCCCCCTTCCTTCCTTTCCTCTTTCTCCCATTCTCCTTCCTTCCTTCCTTCCTTCCTTCCTTCCTTCCTTCCTTCCTTCCTTCCTTCCTTCCTTCCTTCCTTCCCCACATTAAAAATCAAATTCTGTTGCCTGCTCTCAAAGAAATCGTGTGTGCTCCATCACTGGAGACGTTTAAGAAGAAACTAGACAGTCACTTGTCTGAGATGGTATAGGTTCTCCTGCTTGAGCAGGGGGCTAGACTAGAAGACCTCCAAGGTCCCTTCCAGATTCTATTCTATTCTATTCTATTCTATTCTATTCTATTCTATTCTATTCTATTCTATTCTATTCTATTCTAGTCTATTCTAGTCTAGTCTAGTCTAGTCTAGTCTAGTCTAGTCTAGTCTAAGTCTAGTCTAGTTTAGTCTAGTCTAGTCTATCCTATCCCATCCCATCCCATCCCATCCCATCCCATCCCATCCCATCCCATCCCATCCCATCCTATCCTATCCTATCCTATCCTATCCTATTCTATTCTATTCCAGAGAGCACAGCATTAAGAATGTGAAAAAAAATTCAGTTTCTTTTAGAATGGATTCCAGCATTTTAACTTAAGTAGCTAATTTAAATAACTTTGATGTAAATTTAAATAGCTTTGATGTAAATGGCACATTTTAAAAACAATCTTCCGTCCCTCCTTCCCCCCTCCCTTCCTTCCTTTCCTCTTTCTCCCATTCTCCTTCCTTCCTTCCTTCCTTCCTTCCTTCCTTCCTTCCTTCCTTCCTTCCTTCCTTCCTTCCTTCCTTCCTTCCCCACATTAAAAATCAAATTCTGTTGCCTGCTCTCAAAGAAATCGTGTGTGCTCCATCACTGGAGATGTTTAAGAAGAAACTAGACAGTCACTTGTCTGAGATGGTATAGGTTCTCCTGCTTGAGCAGGGGGCTGGACTAGAAGACCTCTAAGGTCCCTTCCAGCTCTATTCTATTCATATCCACCCATACACAAACAGGTAGTCCTCAACTTACAACAGTTTGTTTAGTGACCGTTCAAAGTTACCACTGCACTGAAAAAAATGACTTATGACCATTTTTCACAGTTACGACCTTTGCAGGAGCTGGCTTGCATGGCTAAAGCAGAACTAGAACTCACACTCTCCTGGTGATTGGCCCAAAGCCGCCCAGCTGGTTTTCATGCCTAAAGTAGGACTAGAACTCATAGCCTCTTGGTTTCTAGCCTGATGCCTTAACCACTGGACCAAACTGTCTCTTTGACACATCAACCCAGCAACTCTTGAAAACATCCTGACACGTAGCCCCTACTTGGGATCTGTCTTATGGACAGTAGAAACTGAGGCTGTGAAGGCAATGTAGAAGATTGAACACACTGAGAAACCATACTTAACGTGTAGTCCTCAAAGGAACTACATCCCCATGGAGGCAGGTAAGTAGTGGGGTACCCCAAGGTTCCATTTTAGGACCAGTACCCTTTAATATCTTCATAAATGATCTAGATCAGGGGTCCTCAACCTTGGCCAGTTTAAGACTTGTGGACTTCAACTCCCAGAATTCCTCAGCCAGCAAAGCTGGCTGAGGAATTCTGGGAGTTGAAGTCCACAAGTCTTAAACTGGCCAAGGTTGAGGACCCTTGATTTCTAGACCAGTGGTTCTCAACCTGTGGGTCAAACGACCATTTCACGGGGGTCGCCAAACAACGCAGTCCGCCATTTTGTTTTCCCCCTTTTCCTTAGCTGTGCTACTCCCTTTTAGTCTATTGGCTTTTGAAAGCCAATAGAACAGACTCTCTTGAATAGAGTCTAATTCTATTGGCTTTCAAAAGCCAATAGGAATTATCCAGGCTGTCTCTGCCCTGCTGAGCCCGCCAAAAGTCCCATTGTGCAAACGGCGCTGCACCAGTTGAGTAGTCCTCGACTTACGACCGGTTGAGTAGTCCTCGACTTACAACCGGTTGGGGGGGGGGTCGCGGCATTAAAAAGGTTGAGAACCACTGTTCTAGATGAAGGAATAAAAGGGGAACTCATCAGATTTGCAGATGACACTAACCTGGAAGGAATAGCCAAAGCCCCAGGAGACAGGGTTAAAATCTAAAAGGCTCTTGACAGACTTGAACACCGGACCCTATCTAACACAATGAAATTCAATGTAGCTGTTGTGCACGTTCAACTATTTAAACTTTCACCAACCTGGCTAGGCACAATGCACAAGCACAGCTGTTGAGGATGTGTGAGAGAAAGAGACCTATCTGTCCACAATCATCATTCTAACTCTTTCACAAAATAGTCAGATCTAAAACATAGGAGACCTTAATAATAAATTCTGGGACTTTATGTCTATTGTGGCCTTGAAAGGCTATGCTCAGTTTATTCTGGTATACTGTGAGTGATAAGACAAAGATCTGAGAGGCTTCCACAAAGAAGAGGGAGTCAAGTTATTCTCCAAAGCATCTGAAGGCAGGACGAGAAACAACGGATGGAAACTAACCAAGGGGAGAAGCAACCTAGAACTAAGGAGAAACTTGCTGACAGTTAGAACAATTAACCAGTGGAACAGCTTGTCTCCAGAAATTGAAGGTGCTCCAACACTGGAGGTTTTTAAGAAGAGATTGGACAACCCTTTGTCTGAAATGGCATAGAATTTCCTGCCTGAGCAAGGGGTTGGACTAGATGACCTCCAAGGTCCTTTCCAACATTACTCTTCAGTTATTCTGTTACTTCCAAAAAACAGGCCAAAGCATTTAGGGATGAGGGTGGTGATGATCAGTAGGTCCTTAAATGCTTAAGATACTAACAAGAACTTTCTCTTCTTCTGTTTAAAATCTCTCTTTCTAAAATCACACACGATGATAATCAATAAAGAAACAAGAAGGAAAACAGAACATAAAGAGGAAAAAAAAATCTACTTCAGTTCTCTTTTTTTGTTTTGTTTACATAGTTTAAAAGTGGAGTTCCATGCAGGTGTCTGTTAGATATGCCGAAAAGAAGAAGGACGGGGGAGTTCCCAGCCATGAGCAGATTCAGTTTTGTTCAAGGACTTTTTGCAAAATTAAACTCTGCAGGTTTCTTAATCTATCCCAGGCAGAGAGATAAAATAACTGCTACCATGGAACCAAAACTATGAAAAGGACATGGAGATCTGGCAATTTAGATGCAACTTATTTTCATATTTGGTGGACTGGTAA